GATCCTTACTTTAAAAAGTAAACGTTTAGTCTTCTAATCTTAAAACTGTTAACAAAAAATAATAATATTGAGCTCTTGAATATTGATAAAATATTACTAAATACTAACATATTAAATTTAATTTCAAAACAACCATTGTTGTTACAAAAAATCATCATTTAAAATTAAAAATTTTAAGATTAAAGGACTAAAACTATACTTTTTAAAGTTAAATGACCAAATTAAAAATTTATATAAAGTTAAAGGACCAAATTTATACTTTAACTTATTTGAAATAACTGACTTATAAATAACAAAAAATTGGTTAAAGGCAATAAATAGGCAGTAAATATATTTTTGCTTTCAAATGCGTCTTTATAATAAATGAGAAAAAAGATTAAAAAAAAGTATGAGGAAATATAATATGATAGAAACTTAGAGAGTATGGCAAATGAAAGAAAATTAAGGATAAAATTGAAAAAGATACATTAAATACAGAAATAACCCTAAATTGAAACTTACATGTACTCCATCATCTCCAAATTCAAAGCTTATAATTAGGAGTCAGGAGTACAGCAAATTAAATGTAATCTGCATACTCTCTGTAGTCCAATCCACTATACGACACATTTGAGGAAAAATAATGAGGGTCTCGAAGTTACAGGGGATCAACGTAGTCCATAATTTACTCAACAAAATAATGTTCTAGTCCGAATTCAGGGGTTTTGATCCATTTTTTGATGGTTTAATTTAGTTTAATAATCCATTATTACTATAAACTTAGTAAGCATATTAAAACAATAGTAATAATGAGGAATAATATACCCATGTTTTCGGCCACGGCTTTGATTTCCGCGGTTTCACCACGATTTCTTCGTAACCCCACAATAGCAAAACCAAGAAAATATTAAATGTCTTGTGCCCCTGATTCATAGAAAGCCCTCTGGAAAAAAAAATAAATAAATAAAACGAGAAAACGCACATTAAAATCTACAAGCCTTCAGAACAAAGTAACATCACCAGAAACATATAGCCAGCGTGTATGTCATTGTCTTGTATTCGATCCTCAAGTACTTGAAAAGCTTGAAGTTGAAGAATATAAATCTCTCCCATTATTCATTCATTTCTCAGTTTCTTAGAATTTTGGATTTTATCTTTTTCTAATGGAAGAGTGGTCTGCAACTTCTGCTACAAGGGCTTACCTTGATACCCTTCATCTGGTAGTTTGTTTCTTCCTATGCTTTTCCATCTTTTTTGGCCACTGTCGTTTCTGTGCTTTGATTTTTTTGCGGTCATCACACGGTTTTTATGATCAATCTGTTATTTGTGCAATCTTGTTGATCTTGATCAAGGATTCAATTGTACGTACGTATTAATCCCCAACTGGATAGAGAGTTTCCAAAGCTCTTACGCGCATGTTTTTCCATTTCCATTCCTTGTTAGTTGTAGGAAAATATAGGCATGAATTGATGGCTTTGTATGAGAGAAGAAACTTGATTAGTATAAAAGTAAATCAGGGGCCATATTTTGTCTGCTGCTTTGTTACAGAATCAAGTGTTTAGAGCCATCCCAAATGTTCCTCTGTTATTCATTTCTCGAGACATCAGGGGGTGTTTATTTAACAAACAGTAAGCTTGTGTTCTTTCTCTGCATTATGAACTTATGTATATCTTTCAACAAATAGGATATAAGAACACAGCATAATTTCAGCCCAATAACAATATATTCTCATAGTTTCTTACTGATTTGAATCAAAATGAAGAAATTTGGACCACGATGTGTTTGCTTGGGTCTTGAAGCTCTTGGGGTTTAACAGTATTTCTCAGTTCATGTGTCAGACAATTGATAACATCTTAGTCCTCCGGACTTTATTCTACATTTGATGCTCAAGATTCTACTTTGATGATCAAGTAACTAACTTGTCCTTCATTTCTTCTTGACAGTGTAACAAATATGAAAGACAATTTGAACCTCGGAGAATGCTGGAACCTGGAAGTTTTGAATTCGTGTCAGCATTAGCTGCAGGGATGAAAGCAAAACTGATAGTGGAAGTGACATCGCGAACATCGCCATTGACGATAGCCCTCGCAGCAGCAGCAAGGCAAACAGGAGGCAGGCTGGTCTGCATTCTGCCAGAGCTAGTGCTGGATGAATCAAAAGAAGCTATTAGCAGCTCAGGGCTTAAGGACCAAGTAGAGTTTAGAACTGAGGACCCCTCTGAACTATTGCCTAACTACGAAAACATTGATTTCTCACTAGTGGATTGTGAAGATGAAGGTTACGCAAGGCTGCTCAACTTGCTTGATGTTAATCCCACAAGATCAGTGGTTGTGGCTAACAATTTGGCTGGTGATAGAAGAGGGTTGGAAGGCTACGTAAGAGGAAAGGATGAGAATGTAGCAGTAAGATCACTGAACCATCCTATAGGGAAGGGCATGGAAGTTACAATGATTAGCAAACATAATGTCAATGATAGTATGAGATCCCCAGATTACAGAAATCGTTTCAAGAAAAGGAATAAGAGTCGGTGGGTTGCCAAGATTGATGAAGAAAGTGGTGAGGAACATATATTCAGGGTACCTAAAATTGATTGGTATTGGAATTGAAACTACCAACTTTTAACCCCAAAAGAATTGGGTCATTGATAGAGTTGAGCTTTTAACGCAGAAATCCAATAAGATGGATGGCGAAGGCGCATGCGAATTGATCCCAAAAGGGAAAAAGATTGCAGCTGTAATATAACTGCTGAAAAACAAAGATCATTTTGGTCCTATGAGTGCTTCACATGCTGCTGGGGAATGTGTGGCCTGGTCGTCGTTAACATTTTGTCTCCTCTATCAGCGACCAAACAGTGATCCAATTGAAACACTTCCGCACTTGGTGTTCCAGAAAGCTGCCTTACTTGTTACAGCTAATCAAATTAACGGTTGTATTAATTTCCTTCCTATGATAGGTGAAGTCATGTAACTGTTACCTACATATTATAAATAAGAAGTTGGTAAGCTTCAATTTTTAAAATGTTGTCTTCTGAAGTACTACTACAAGAGTTGCACATGGTAATACAAACTTACCTAATACGTCTATGTATATGTATGCATGTTTTTATTCCAAGTTGTTGTTTCTTCTGGCCTGCAAATTTTATTAGATGAACAGACACGAGGGGTTGAAGGCTAGAAGTTTTGATAGGGAACTAGATTTAGCTTAGAGAGCCCGTACCATTGAAGAAAGAACATCAAAACAAGAGGGAGGTGACTGCAACAAGATACACCTAAAAGGCAAACCTCTTCTAGTGGTGTCAACAGAGGCGTCATCTTTCAGAGGCCTGAGCTTTTTAAAATTGCGTCGGGCAAGCAAATAGTTGGGAAGATCCTAATCTAGTTTAGTGTTAACTAATCACTATTTGGATTGAACATGGTAGGCCTTCAGGCCTAGTCCAACGAAACCTCTAGATTCGAGAAAGTATGGAGAGAAATTATAGGGAGGACCTATTCCACTTTTTGATTCCTTTGTACTTGTACCCTTCTATTTCTTGCAGTTTAGGTCGAAACGGTCACTTCCTTTTTGAAGCATAAACTTCGACTGTGAATCAAAATTCTAATGAGCATGGAGATTTTTGAGTGCGTCAATCATTGAATACAGTTCAATATGGAATATTAATTAACGATAGTTATTTAATGCTTGTTGTTGATCGTGTTAAAATCATAATACAGTCGGCATATTAAATATAAGAACTATTCAATAATTGATTGAGGCCATAGAATTGGCTATAACGGTCACCTGTGCTATATAATCCTATTTATAAAGTACTTTCAATATATTTTACATAGACTAAAGAAAACCTTAAACTACATTAACTTTTTATTAAAGCATAACAACTTTCTAACTTTATCTCTATTTAATATATATACCTTTCAAAAAAATAACTATTTATACTATAATAAATGAAGGACAATATAATACATTTATGATAAAAATTTAATGAAGTGACTTATAAATAGGAGAAAAAAAAACTTCTCTCTGTGCCCTATAAATGGGACCAAAAGAGTGTGTCATGGTAACAATTTTGTAAACTTCTAATTCTAGCGGCTAAATGATTTTTAATTATTGAAGTATGTATATTTAAGAAGTAGCTTCCAAGCAAGCTTTACGAATTGGGTTCTAAGTTACTACCTCTGGTCATTAATATAAAAGCTAATTGACTAATTTGAGTGGATTAAAAAAATTAATTAAATTAATTATTTATAATAAATATGTATTGTTTGTTTTAAAATACCTTTGCTAATTAAGCATCATTTAATGAAACATTTGACAAGTACAACTTTTATAACGACTACCTTAAAAAAAATAGAAAAATATAAAAAACAAAGTGGATTGAGATCTTATATTTAAGATTAAATTAAAAATCAAAATAAATTTTATATTAAGAACTGGAGGTAGTACTTTTGCCTTTCTAAGAAATTAGTAATTCATAAATCAAGTTTCCATCGTGCATTTTTTTAATGGGCTGATGAGAACAATTCAAGCATCAGACATCAGGCCCCAGTTGACACTAAAGCTCCCTCTATAAGTGCTGGTCAAAAAAAAAAAGAAAAAGGCTCCATCTATAAGGAGTTTCTTCCCCACCTTAATATTCTCTTTTAATATTAAACAATGAATTACCATTTTTACCAATTTCACCCCAATATTTCTTCTCAAGATTGAGCATGTTAAACCTTCAAACCTACTCCGTTGACACCTCCAGCCATCACAAGAGCTATAAAGAACTGTCTCTTTCAGAAGAAACTGTTCAAGAAAAGTCTCGTTTACCTAATCGAGTGTCTCTCCAGTTCATCTGAGAAGTCAAGGGGGCCACCGTGTTCGGTGATTTGTCTTCATCACCTACCTCCCAAACGAGCATCTTGCACTACTGTTGTCCTCTCTGCCAGCAACTTGCCGACACACAACTGTAATTCACTGTGTCAGTGAACTTAAACCTTAAAGACAGAAACATTTCTCTATTGTTAATAAACACTATATGCCTCATATTTTAGTAAAGGATAATCCAATACTCTGAGATGAATATAAAATTTTAGCGGTTCAACTTGTTCAATTGCAGGACGGAACAAGCAGATCCAGCAACCTTTTTTCCCCCCCCCCTCCCTGGGTCTTCAACTCTTATTTTTCGGTCCTTTTTTATTCTTGAAGCAATCCTCAGGTTATAAACGTGTTATGATTGAAAGTTTTGAACTTTCGAATCATTTAATTTAAATATGAATGACTGTCGCTAATAATAACATCAGTCAGAAGTCCCGGAGAAAGGGCCTGCTGTTGGACGTTGAACTATGAAGTTTACAAGAAGATGGTGGTGATAATGTCCCTGGACCAACCGCTACCTTAGCCAACAACTACCAAATTGGAATCTTCGTACTCAAGAGACTAATGCCTTGGAGCTACCTTATTGTTATTGCTTTCTATTCACATTTTCTTCCTGTTCTTGAGTTTCTTAGCCGGCATTTTTCCCAGCTTTAGTTAGATCTCAGCTGGGACACTGTATGAATGGCAAATTTCAGATCATTTCTCAGTCTCTGTGTTCTGAATCTTGTGTTGAACTTCAAAGTCACAGCATCAGTGGGTGATAATGGCGGGGTTGGTTCTGCAACAGAAAGCAATTGCAAGAACACGAATTATCAAAGCTTTCTCCCTCCACCATATCAGAACATATCTCATATGATATGCAGACCTGTATGGAATACATATGAACTGAGGGTAAGTTCTTCAGGCCGCATCTAGATATGTGTAATAATTGGCTGTCGGTACTGCCATTTTCCCATTAAATATTTCTTATGAAGCTGATATCGTCGAATTCTTTAGCCTGTTCAACGTCAATTATTCTGAAATTACGGCTGCAACTTTCACGTTTTTTTTTAAAACATATTCTGCATCTCATAGCTGTCCGTTCTCTTCAAACTGCACCAGAACTTACAGCACAAATGCTTTTTATGATTTATTTAAAGTTAGTGTATGGAACGGCAACGCACCTGAATTGAGGGTAAATTCAGACAATTCTAACGTTGATTTTGTGTCTTATCCATTTCGAGAATCTATGTACCCCAAGAAGCTAAATTTATAGGAAACATAATCTGTTTAATCGCATTAATTCTAGGATCATGACTAAAATCTTAAGTTTGAGGGACAAGCAGGTTGTTCTAACAAGATTCAAACCCTAAACAAATGTAGATAATTGAAGTTGACCTTTTGTAGCTGATTTGTACGTTTTCGACTGCAGTTCACTCAAAATGATCCTCAGACCACAACTATCATCCTATCTGCCCCCTACACAGTTGGGTGGGTAGGAATTGGGTTTTCAAAAGATGGGATGATGGTTGGTTCAAGTGCAATGGTGGGATGGATTAGCCAACATGGTCATGGAAAAGCTAAACAGTTTTATCTGCGGGGCAGAAAATCATCAGAAGTAATAGCAGACAAAGGAGAAGTGCCTCTCAACAATGTTCCTGCAGCTGTGGCAATTGATGGGGCTCAAATTCACTTGGCATTTCAGTTGCAGACCACATCCCCACTTGGGAGGCAACCAATTTTGCTGGCTTTTGGTGCTAAAACCCCGCAGAATCATCACCTCTCAAAGCATGTTGATAAAACAGCTATTGTATTTGATTTCTCTTCAGGTGCAAAATAATTTCCCCGTGACACTCTTGTGATACAATAATAGACAAGTGTTTGGTTGGCCAAGTTTTTCTAAGGAAATACTCATTTTGAAGAAAGATAACTAGACTATTCCTAGATTTAGTGTTACACATGTGGATGATTTATTTGGTCTGATACCTGAATATAGCTCGAAACATTTTTTATGTAGACTGCATGTTAACTTACTGTGGCTCGAATCAAAACGGTGTTAACTAAGAATGTTTGAGTCATTTGATCAATGAATAGGGCGTTTCAACTGACTTTTTATATCTCAGTCCTTCTTTCAAAGCATACATATAAGCAGATTAGGTGGTAGCACACTTTAGAATAAACTCGCAGCAATTCCTATAACTTTTCCAGGCAGAAATTAGAACAACCCTTCTTTTCCACAGGTTCTCAGGGTTCTGTATCCAATAACTTGAATCAGATGAGGAAGAGCCATGGAATAGTGGGTATAATAGGGTGGGGTCTAATCTTACCTGTTGGGGCAATTGTTGCAAGATACTTCAGGCATAAGGATCCTCTCTGGTTCTATCTGCACTCGGTGATTCAGTTTGTTGGATTTGGATTCGGACTTGCCACAGTCCTTCTCGGGCTACAGCTTTACTCCAAAATGCAAGTTCATATACCAGCTCACAGAGGCATAGGCATCTTTGTCCTTGTGCTAAGCATTCTTCAGGTTTGCAACTCACCCATGTCTCTCACACTGAAATTTTTTTAGTTAGACCCATCGCACTGTTAACAAAAACTCTGACAGAAGCTTTTTATGAGCAAAGGTCTTAGCATTCTTCTTGAGACCAAACAAAGACTCCAAGATCCGCAAGTATTGGAATTGGTATCACAGTTGGTTTGGGAGATTGGCGCTATTCTTTGCAGCCTTGAACATATTGTTGGGGATGCAAGCTGCAGGAGCAGGGAGTGATTGGAGAATAGGCTATGGATTCTTGCTTAGTATAGTAATTGTTGCCGTCATAGTTTTTGAAGTTTTAGCTTACTTGAAGAGGAAAGAGAGGCGTTCTCTACCTCCCAGCATCCAAATGGACCCTAATGGACTTGCTTCAATTCCAAGTAATCTAACCAAAGGTATGTTCTTTCCTAGCCTAGCTTTAACGCTATATTTCAAATGATCTTCTTGTTGTAGAAACACTCTTCTGATCCAGAGATGGTGTTAAAAATTCTCTCAAAAGTATGACTCGCACATTTTGATGGAGCAGGGTGAATGTGAATTGCTGCTAGTTTTGGGCATCCAGACACAGTAACTTGTCAGATTGAATCACGGCTTTCATCAGGCTATTCATTTGAGGCATATGATTGAACCTGAACTTTGACACCGTAGAAGCTATTCTTTGGGTGAGATCATGTAAAGAAGATACTTGTATAGATAACAAATTAAAGCGACAAGGTTGCTAAGTTGGTTTGGCAAATCTCTTCTTTCAGCTTGAGAAAAGGATTGAACACTTTTTTGGCTTCTTTGGTGGGTTTTTGCCGCTTGGGCGGGAATGTAAATGGCTTCTTGTATTGCTTCCTGTTTACATCATCTAAGTCTTGTTTTTCTAGAGACGTGTGTTGACAAAAATAGTGAAAGAGATTGATGTTTTCGCAGAGAAATGCTTCCGTTAATGATTTTATGATTTTTAGGAGTATTGAATCAATACTTATATATGCTTTTATTATTATTATTACGAGAGAAAACAAGCGCCTAGATCCTCAGTTTCATGCAGGAGAAATGGAGAATGATCATTCTTTTTTCTTTGTTTTTCCCCCCAATATGCCTTAGAATAATCATTCCATTGCACGTCAAGAATGACTTTTTGCTTTTTGTTTTTTTTATAGCTTTCACGGTATGAATTTCATTTTTTTTAATTGAGTTCTAAAATGAATATTTTAAGAACAATTATACACTGATATGCATATGCGTCAATGTTTACATGTACACACATTTTGTATGCATAGTATTATAACGTTTAATAGTAAGAGTCAGAGATTGTTTCTGCAGATAATAGTTTTTTCCTTCCTTATATTTTAGGAAAATTGATTCTAAAAAATATTGTTATGTCATTTATATTATTAAAGTATGTTTAATATGTAATTAATATTAATAAATTATAAATTTATGAATATCAATTTTTTTTAGAAAACTGCATGTAATTTTGAATCTAATTTTTAATATAATTAAAATATCTCTTTTTCCCGCAAAAAAGAAAGTCTTTCTGTGCATGGGCCAAGTTATATGACATTGGATCAAACCACCTCCCACATCTAAGCCTGACGGACTTCGCGTGGAATTCAATTGGTCTGGACCTATACCAAACTCAACGGTTGGTTTGATTCTCACCAAAGACCCTTTTTGGACCGAACCTAAAATCAACATTTAACATTTAGGACATGTTTGGATAACATAGAAAACCATGGTTTTGAGATCTAAACTATGGTTTGGGTCCTAGACTTGCCAAACACCCAGGACAAAACAGAAACCATGGTTTTGGATCAAAACCATGGTTTGGAGTTCAAAACCATGGTTTTAAAAGAAGTGAATCCATTCTGCTTCTGGCTCAAATGGGAGAGTATGATTGTGCCTGTAGAGTAGATCTTAATGATAATATGATTTTAACATTCCTCAATTATTTTTTTATAAACATATGTAATCATATTAATTATATTATTTTATATATTATTAATTATGTTGGTAAAAAAAATATTATTAACAATTTTATTTTTTTCAAATTAAAATATATTATAAAATCTATCTTTTATGTAATTATAATATTAACTTATGTTTTTTTTAGTAAAATTTGTACATATAAAAAATTCTTCTGATAACAACTATCCAAACACTCTCATTTATCAGAATCACTTTTTCACAAAACCTATTCTTCACAAAATCTATTTTTTCCAGAATCTATTCTCCAGAAACTATTCTCCAAACCATGGTTTGGTTTCATCCCAATGCATTAACCCACTTCTAATTTCTAACAGGAGATTAGGTTTAACAAAAGAAATTAGTCATTTTATAATATGATGAATGAAGATATAAATTCTTATTAAAAGAGGTATTCACATTTAATATCCAATAACATCTCGAATAAGTTTGTCCCTAATAAAAGGACACTTATGCGTGGTAAAAAAAATATAAACAAAACATTTCTAATTATTTTTCTTGTATTTTGGTCAATTTATAAACCCGTGACTCTGTCATAATTAGAAAAAATACGGTTCAAAACCTGTAATCTTATAATTTTAGGGAAAAATTAATTCCAATGTTATTTTCAAAATCATGTCCATAATTTGCTAACTTTGAATAGGATAAGCTGGACTGAGCAACAATAATTCAAACACTCAAGTAATACTAAATATCCACATGAATGAAGGCAAACAGGCAATGCCATTTAATTTAGTTTTAATTTTTATTATTCTATAAAATAATTGCATGAAATGCCCCAAATTCATATCAAGTCATGTCATGTGAGTTGATACAAAATTATTTTTATATATTTATCTCATATTTCGTAAATTATAATTAAAAAATTAATTATAAACTATTTTAAACAGGCTTACAGCTACTCTAACTCCCTTCCTCTGGACACCACATACATGGAATATTATTTATTGTTTTTGCACCTCTTTTCTTTTTTTTTAATGAGAATTAATTTCATAAAAACCAGGTCTTAGAATTTTTTTGAAAAATAAATTATAAATACTAATTCAAAAAATCAGTTATTAATTAATAATATTATTTATTTTTAAACTAAGATTCTTAAATTTGTAATTATTTAAACCCCTCCTTATAACTTCTTTTTTTCCAAAAAAATTTGTAATTTTAACTGTAAAGCTTTTTTTTTTTTTGGCGCTAACCGTCATTCTCCTTTTCCGCGCTCATCCTCGATCCTTTCTCAAACTGGCAACATAAAAACGAATTTGGAACCCGCCAAAGGGGAACCCAAAATATCGATGTCCCACTTCACTTGCACAGTTGCCTGGGGAATTTTATCCCGCCAAAAATTTTCCCCGCTGGCGCCTTCCTCAAAACAAATGTTCGGCGCCTCCCTCCTCAGCCAAATCCCTCTCCCTCCCTCCACTCCACAGCGATTACTTTCTAGCTTCCTTATGTTTGTGACAGAGAGATTCCATGTTTAGTTGAACACCCACTTAGGCAGTTACAGAACTTGTTATTCCGTATTTGTCGATTCCCAGTGATATTTCTCGGGCAAATTGTCAGTGTTATACGGGATTTCGCTCTTTGTTCTCTTTTACTGGTTCATAGATCGAAATCAACGCTGATCTATCCGAGGTTCTTCTGTGTTTAGCAAAAGGAAAAAAGGCATTCGGTTTTTCTGCATCACTGCCTGGTTGTTGTTTCATTATTCAAAATTTGGACGGTTTTTGCGTTCAAGTTCTGGGGATTTGTGACGCTGTTGGGGCGCCGAGCTTGATGCTGAATTGGATCGATGCTGAGTAGATTGATGCTCGGCTTTGGAGTTTTGTTGCTCACTTGTTGGACTTATGGCTATGGTGCTTCAATGAGAAATCTAGGTCTTTTGGTGTAAAGAGTTTCATAGTACATTTTGTGGTATCGGATAGTCCCAAGATGATACTTAAGCGGAATATGAAAATTGAAATTCCGAACCTGAAGCGATGCCGATTAGAGGAGCTTGATCCTGAAGACAGTATGTGTGCGGCGAATCCCAAGAAACGGAGGGCAAGTTGGTTCTTATCTCCTGGTATGCCCGCTGAGGATGAATATTTGGGCAGGGGTTCTGGATTTCTGTGCAGTAAAGAATCGCATTGCGGTGGTGACTTACGGTCGAACCCAGATTCCACGAAGTCAAATGCTAAAACAGTACTAAAACCGGGCTCAAAAGTGGTTCGGCCTCCATTATTGCGGTCGTCGCGAGGTCGCCAACAGATACTTCCGTCGAGGTTCAGGGATTCGGTTCTTGATTCTTGGAAGAATAAAAGAATCCAAGGGGAGAACACTTATTCCAGCTTTGAAGAAGATAAGTTTTTAGGGGAAGATAAGTCGAAGCTCAGTGGAATGGAATTTGCAAGACAGAGAGATAATGTTGACTCTAATCTGAAAAATTCAATTTATTATTCCCATACTGAAATGGAGAAGGAAAGAGTCTTGGGTGCCTTAGACTCGAGTGATTTCGACGCCGCGGACACGGAGCATGTGAAATCCTTTAGTACCATGAGAACAACAGTTAAAGAAAGTTCATCGTTAGTTAAATCTCAGAATTATGCGCCGGGACTTAATTCTGAATGCGTTAACCCGAAGACTAATGGGAAAGCTGAAAAGAGGGTAGACATTTACAAACTAGAGGATTTTGCTTGCGGTGACATAGTTTGGGCAAAATGCGGGAAGAGGTATCCGGCTTGGCCTGCGGTAGTGATTGATCCCATCTTGCAAGCTCCCAAATCAGTCCTCAACTGTTGTGTTCCAGGTGCAATTTGCGTGATGTTTTTTGGGTACTCAAAAAAAGGAAAGCAAAGGGTAAACTTCTCTTTACGTTTATGGCCTTAAAATTTGAGTTTTAAAATCGTCCACACTTGAAATCTAAAGTAATAATGATCGGCAGGACTATGCATGGGCGAGGCAGGGTATGGTATTCCCCTTCATGGAATTCATGGAGAGGTTTGTATCTAATCGATGATCCAATATAAGTTGACCGTGTCTTGCTAGACTATTCAACATCTACTCTACTAAACTTTATGTAAATTTAGATTTCAGAGGCAGACTCGGCTGTACAGGAGCAAACCAAGTGACTTTCGAATGGCGTTAGAGGAGGCTTTGTTGGCAGAAGATGGTATTCTGGACTCACATTTGGGAGCAGAGATTACTACTAAAAGTAACGTTGAAGCTCATCCCAGTGCAGATATTGAGGTTACGGGTCCATATCATGATCAGGAGGACTACTGCCAGGACCAGGTGAGCTTAATTTCTCTGATTGATCTTTTCTAGGTGATGGAAACATTAATATGCTGCAAAAAACATTACAGTCCTTTCAGAGAATTTATTTTTATTTGAACTTATGAATATGGGAGACGTGAGTAACCCATAGCAAATAGATCATGACCATCCATAGATGCTGGTGAAATTGAATGCTAACAGAGATAACTAGTGCCGGAATCTAAAAATAGCTATTTCTCTAATAACCCAAATGGAGAATCTCGAATACATGACACATAACAATCATAACTTACTCCTACGCAGACCCCACGTCTATTTATTAAGTGAAAATTCATAGCCAAACCCTAACTGAACTAATAGACTCCTAAACACATTATGACAAGCCTGCTATAACTGCAGTCAACTGGCACGATGTGCTTGGTAACTCCCTCACTCTGTCGCTTCTTTTCTCACTATTAGTTTTGTGCTGTTCTGAAATGCCACCTACCCACTACTTGCCCCTGCTCTAGGGTCTAGGCCTTTTATTTCTCCTACTATAGGTAAATGGAGCTGTCCATGCAGAACTCTGTCATGGGCTTTGTGTTTTCATTTTGTTAGCTTATATGTTTCTTTATCCTACAGTTCTAGTCCAAAAGGCAGACTTGAATAATAGCTGACACTAGCAGTGTAGAAATGTGTGCCTTAGAGTCTGGTTGTTTGTAGGTTCTTATCCAGTGAAAAAATTGTGCAGGATGCAAGACTTTGTGCTGGCTGTGGTTTGATGTTACC